CTGCCTCTGTGGTACCCTCTCTCAATCCCCCAGTCCAACCACCAGCCAAAGGTCCAGAAACCGGCCAGCAACATTGGGAAGAGGAGGTTCTCAAAAGAGAAGCAGAGGAGTCAGCTCCCTTTTCCTACGGCTGAATGATGAGAAGCAACATTCTGGAATGCCACAGGGACTTTAGCTGCCCATGGCACGGTGGTGGAAAATAACCGGAAAGATAAATCCTGGTTTTAAAGGGCTAGGACTCAACACTGAGGCCAATTAAATTTAGAGCTAAAATCTAAATAAATGCATTCTTCCTCCATTTTTCTCCCACCTGGAACCAGTTGTAGACCAAAATGGCCTCAGATTTGCAGAGATCTGCCTGTCTCTGCCTAGTACTAGGATTAAAGACGTGCACCACCACAGTTGGGCAATAAATACATTCTTTAAAATGTCAAAAAAAAAAAAAACACAAAAAAGGATACATATGTCCATAGTACTTGCTTACTTAAAAGACAGATTGTATAAGAAATAAGAAAACCTGATAGCCTTACATTAAAAATGAAATTGCCAATGGCGCTAATAGAGCCCAGGAACTGCCAAAAGAAAAGAACAATTTTCACCACACATAAGAAGCAGTCAAAAGAGCCCTCTGCAAGTCTGGATTTAAAATAAGATCAATATAAGTTAAAGAATATTTGTTTGCTTTCTTGTGCTGGGGTTCAAACCACACCTGTGCTTGCTAGAAAAGCACCCTAACACTAAGTGAATAGCTCCAACCTTTAGAATACTTTTAAATTTAAACAAAATATGGAGTAAGAGAAAGAAAGGACTTTCAAATATGCAAATTTAGGTCAAATAAAATATACTGTATTCTTTTTTTTTTTTTTTTTTTTTTAATTTTGACGAGACAGGGTTTCTCTGTAGCTTTGGAGCCTGTCCTGGCACTAGCCTTGTAGACCAGGCTGGCCTCGAACTCACAGAGATCCGCCTGCCTCTGCCTCCCGAGTGCTGGGATTAAAGGCGTGCGCCACCACTGCCCAGCATATACTGTATTCTGTAAGAAAAAAAAGAAGATGTTTTTAGGTATAAAAGACATTTTTAGGAAGGTAATACAAGTTATTACAGAAAATGGTTTAGGTATAAAACTTTGAACTCACTAAACAGTACTTTCTCTGAATTTGCCACATACATATGGACTAAATATTGTGAATGTAATTATTACTCAATAATAATCATCATCATAATAATTATTATTATTTGTGGATTTTTTTTTTTGAGACAGGGTTTCTCTGTGTAACAATACTGGCTGTCCTGGAACTCTCTTTGTAGATCAGTCTGACTTCAAACTCACAGAAGTCTGCCTGCCTCTTACTCCCAAGTGCTGGGATTTAAGGCATGTGCCACACCACCTGGTTGAGACTTTATCTTCAAACTAACAAAAACCCCAGAAACAACACTCCTGCCCCCAACCAAACCAAACAGAGTCAGGTGAAATGCCTCAGCAGTGAAAGCGTGCTTGCTACAAATCCTGACTGCCTGAATTCATCTCCAGGATTCACAATGTGGGCCCAGCAGCTCCCACATTTTCTTGTTTTCTTTGTTCTTCCTCCTCTTCTTTAATTGGTGATGGAAGATTAGTAGTTTAGCCTGGCGGTGGTGGCACACGCCTTTAATCCCAGCACTCGGGAGGCAGAGGCAGGCGGATCTCTGGGAGTTCGAGGCCAGCCTGGTCTACAAGAGCTAGTTCCAGGACAGGAACCAAAAAGCTACAGAGAAACCCTGTCTCGAAAAACAAGAAAAAAAAAAAAGATTAGTAGCTTAGCAGGCACAAAGCTCTGAGTTTGGGCCTAAGCACAATAAAATTAGGATGCTAAACACACACACACCCCACGGAGGACCTCACCTAGCCCCAGCTGGCCTCAGGCTCTGTAGCTGTCCTCCTGCCTCTACTCCCACGGGCTGGGATTACATGTGTATACCACCGCACCTAGCTTCACGGTGCTCTTGCCTTCTCCCTGTCCTCGCTAAGCTCTTTTGTCTACAGCAGTGTAATTCTGGCCCTGTTCAGACTTCTAGGTGCACCAGATGCCAGCAGAAGCCCCAGGAAAAGGTGGTAGCTGCTTCGTGCCCCATGTTTCCTGCCCATTGACTATGAGGTGTGGGGTCTACCTCAGCACTTGCTCTCTGCTCAGTCCCTCGATGACTATAACCTTGCTGTTTTCTGGTCTCTACATCTAATTCACTTCTCCCTGCTTGCTCAAGGCCCAAGAAGGCTGGCACTGGGGTGACTGTAGTGGCATTTCATTTGTATTTTAATAAGTAAAGCTTGTCTGAGGATCAGAAAAGTAAAACAGCCACACTGGTCAACCTTACAGGACCAGGCAGTGGTGACACACACCTTTAATCCCATACCTTTAATGACACTAGCTTGTCACAGAAACCAGTCAGTAGTGTCTTCTTAATTTCTTTTTCTTTCTTTCTTTCTTCCTTCCTTCCTTTCTTTCTCTCTTTCTCTCTTTCTTTCTCGAGACAAGATTTCTCTGTAACTTTGGTGACTGTCCTGGAACTAGCTCTTGTAGATCAGGCTGGCCTTGAACTCACAAAAGATCTACCTGCCTCTGCCTCCTGAGTCCTGGGATTAAAGGCTTGCCACCACTGCCTGGCTGGTTTCTTAATTTCTTAAATTCCTTAATCCCAGAACTAGAGAGGATTATAAAACGGGAGGAGACAGCTCTCAGCCTCATTTTGAGGTTTCCTGGAGGCAGGATCACCATTTTCGGACTGAAGTCAAGGTAAGAGACAGTGGCTGGCTGCTTTGCTTTTCTTGTCTTCAAATTGAACCCCAATATCTGTCTCTGAGTTTTTATTACTCATGCTTCATGTGACTTCATTGCACCAGTGCCTAAATGCTTACATTCTCATTGCTTCCAATCACAGTCATACTTGAACCTTACCTAATGCTCACGATGCCCTGACACCGGTTTATTCCTATTTTAGCAAATGCTGACATTACCTCCCTTAGATAGATAGAGTCCAGATGGGTCAGGCAGTGCTATCAGCATTACCGAGTGTGCAGCAGAGCCATGGGTGTCTCTGGGGCCTGGGTGTGTTTGTTCATGATGGGGTTTAGAACATGCAGACCTCAGGTTATGGAGAAAAGGCCACAGGCTGCCACCTGATAAAGCTGAAGGCCTTATCTCAACACCCAAACACACACTGCAGAGGTTGGGGGCAGAGTGCTTTTTTAAATAACAAGCCAGCTTGGAAAACAGGGACTTACTACCCTTATTGCCACTTACCATAAACTTTTCCTGTGGTTTTTGACAGGAAGGGGTGAGATTTTCAGTCGTTGTTCGTTGTTCTGGCTAAGGACAGTGAGCATGCTAATCTAAAAGAAAACGGACCCAAATAAGACTGTTTGCTGTTGTTGCACCATGACCAATTCCTTTCCACGCTCTGGCTGTCATCACTCCTGGGGTGATTGTCTCCAGAGCCTGAGCCAAGAGTGTGTTCCTAGATGTCATGGTGTGTAATTTAATCACCACTAAGAGAACTGTGCTTAGTATGGTGGCACAAACTTGAAATCCCAGCATTGGGGAGACTGAGAAAGATCATGAGTTCCAGGCTAGCTGGGTTACAGAGAGAGACTCCATCTAAAATAAGAAAAAATTTAAATAAGAAAAAAAATTTTTTTGGAAGATGGAGGAGAAGGGAAAAAGGAGGTGGGTCTGTCTCAGGAGAGCTGAGCCTGGATGAGGACAGCTCTTCAAATTCAGCAGTTCCACCCAAGGTCTGTCTGGAAAGGACAGATTCTGGAGGCCAATTTCTGTTCTGACGCCTGTGTTTCCTCCTTCCTGAGGACCCAGGTCTCTCCAGGCGGCATGGGTGGGGCTCAAGTTCAGTGTGTCCATTGCTTCCCTTTAGGTAACTGCCCTACACCCAAGGACACAGTCTACTGGGCTTGGTGGCATCAGGACCCTGAGAGACAGGATCCTGGGACAAACAAGCCAGTTCCTGCCCTAGGCATTTCAATTTCAAGCATGAGCAACAACAGAAGATGACAATATCTGGCCTTAAACAAGAGGTGACAGGAAGCAGGTGCCAGGTGGCTGAGTTCAGGCCCCAGAAAGGAGGCTTTAAGCCAGACACTTACCTTGCCAGAGGCTCAGCTTGCCCCATGGAAGGGATGCTTATCTACCCATTCTCTGAAGACCCCAATCTATTAGGAATTTCTGCCTGACCCGTCCTCCTATAGCTGTGCAAGTTGCCCATTGCACATTTTTCTGCTTGCACTGGCAAACTAGAAACTGGATTTAAACTATCCATGAGCCTCAGGCTGGGACGGGTAACAGTTTTTTTGTAATTTATACTGAAGGCAGGTGTTCTTCTAGGGAACTGCCAACTCCTTCTTCTCAAACCTTTCTCTTCCTCCTTGCTTCCCTGTTTTAATGTTACCTCCAGGAAGCCTGCTTGGTCTCTTGCAGATGGAACCAGCTAGCCTGTCTTGAGCTTCCACGTCTGCACGTTCCTTGATAAACCAGTTACACCTTTGCTCTGCTCTGTCCCTCTGGACTCCAGCATTCCAGGTGAGGGCTAAAGTCGGTGATACACAACGGCTCAGCCAAGAACTGGGAAAGGAGTGCTTTATTCTCACTGCTGGATAGAGGCGACACCCAGGACCTTGGTAGCAGCAAATAATCCCTCCCAGTCCAGCCTTTCCTCTAGGCATGGCAGCTGCAGGCCACTCTGGAAGCCAGGGTGACAGCCTTCGCCTGGGGGCGAGGGGGGGGGGGAGCAGCAGTAGCAGCAGCAGATCACGGCAGGGTTGGGAGTGTTAGTCTTGCCGGTTGGTGCCTGTCCCCCCAAGCTGGTGTCTGATGAGGGTAGGGGCCTGGACAGTGAGCTGGGGACACTGGAGAAGCTCAGTCGGCAGTAAAGACACGACTGGAAATGTCATCAAGGAGCCAGTCGATACCAGGCAGCAGGTCCTCCCCGGTGACGGCACTGCAGCCCTGGATGCGCCAGTGGTGGCTGCGGATGGAGGCCAGGTCCAGAGCCTGGGGACAGAAGGGACTGGTGGAACCAGAAGGCCTTAGCCTGTCCTTTCCCAGTCACACAACGGGAGACTCTAGCTGCACACCAGTGCCACCCCTCAGTGACATAAAATCAACACGGGCTGCTGGGTGTCTGCCAGAGCCAGGCATTCTGCAAGGACTAGAGGTCATTGGTCTCTTGCTAAGGCCTCCTGATCCAGGGATGATGTGGTCCATTTTACCAAAGAAGGAATCCAAACTCAGAGGCTCCATAGCCTTCCACATCACACAGCTGGTTAAAAGGTGACAGAAAGATTCTAAAGCAGAGATAGTGGTGCACATGGGTGGTGGAGCCAGGAGGTGTCACATGACACCCATCTCAAACAAACAAAAAATCGAGATTCTAAGCCTGTAGAGTAATGGCTAAGGTGCAGCTAAGGCCCCAGGGCCAGGTCAGCATGAGGCACAATCCTGGTTCATTTACCCACTATGTGACTTCTGTGTCTCCTGCACTCTTTGCACGGTGATAGGCATTTTCCCTCATGAGACTGTCGTATAAACAAAGAATGCCTCCACACAGAGAGCACCGCAATGGGAAGCACGCAGGCTGGCTCCTGGGACCCTGCACTCTATTTATTACTCATGCAATGCTGGGTGCCCTGCCTTGGTCTTAGCCAGGCATGGAGGTGTATGCTTGAAGTTCCAGCTATTGCGTTTGAGACCAGCCTGGGTCTCAATATGTTCTAGGCCCGCCTAGGCTACAGAAATGCTGTCTCAGGGGGGGGCTGGAGAGATGGCTCAGCGGTTAAGAGCATTGCCTGCTCTTCCAAAGGTCCTGAGTTCAATTCCCAGCAACCACATGGTGGCTCACAACCATCTGTAATGAGGTCTGGTGCCCTCTTCTGGCCTGCAGGCACACACAGACAGAATATTGTATAAATAAATAATAAATAAATAAATGTTTAAAAAAAAAAAAGAAATGCTGTCTCAGAAGTAAAAAAAAAAAGGCCAGGCCTGGGGATGTGGCTCAGTTAGTAAAGTGCTCGCCCGGCAGCACGCGGCTCTGGGAACAACGACCAGCACTGCAGGCACTGACGCTGTCGTGCACACCTCAATCCTACGTACTCTCGGCGCGGAGGCAGGAGACCAACAGTTCAGGGTGTCCTTGCCTTCCTAGTAAGTCTCAGGCCTGCTAGGGCTGCTGAAACCCAGTTTCAAAAAACCAAAACTAAATAAAATTAAAGATAATAAAGTACTAATGACCTTTCAGATTTACTCAGTGAGCCTGTACCAGGGCCCCACTCACCTCCTGAATAGCATTAGAGGACAGCGCTCCAGGCAGGTCCTGCTTGTTTGCAAAGATGAGGAGGGTCGCTCCAGCCAGGCGCTGGGGAAAGAGAGAACAGGTTGGGGCTCGGGAGGCTTAGAGTACAGCCTGATCCCTTCTCTACAAGTAGTCAGCATGCAGGATCAGGAGCAGGGCTCCACGGTTGTTGGGGAGCCCCAGGTGGGGTAGGCAAAGTGGACAGAGCTGCTGATGCTAGCTACCACCCAGTGAGCATCTCTCCCCACCATGTCTAGGTTCCTCTTCCATAATCAGGGGGAGGGTGGTGTTCACAGGATCCGAGCCCTCTGTAGCTCTGGCCATGTGCAGAAAGTATAAGCATGCTGGAGGCTGCCCTGAGGATGTTGGGACATGACCACCTGCCCCTCCTCTCAGTTCACGGATCCTTTAAGTTGTACTCCCAGTAGACTGCCCTGTTGGCCTTTTTCTCTACTTCTTCTTGGTGTGCTTGCAACTTGAAACTCCCCAGATGCAAAGAGAAATCTAACTTCTGGAACTCGTCCTGCTGGGCCTTCAACAACAGTGACCTCTCCTGACCTGTTCACTATTCCAGAAGGGGTTGCATGCATACTGGTGGCGTGTGTCTGTTAGCCTGGCCTTCCTATGCATTCCTGTTGGTTTCTGCACAGGCATTAGCAGCTCCCTCTTACCCTCTCAAAAGTGCCTTGGCCTCAACTAACTGAAATGTGGCAACATGATTCAAGTTGGCAGGTATCCAAACAAAACTTGGAGCTTGTGGCAATTCCTGAGCATGGCTTAGTGGTGCCCAACTGTAATCTCCACACTCAGGAGGCTAAGGCAGAAGGATACAGAATTTGAAGCCAGCCCGGGCTACTAGGGAAACCTGACCCCAGCTCCCCCAAAATCAACCCTGCCAAAATAAATAGCTAATAATGGGATGTGGCAGCACACACCAGTAATCCCATTGTTTGGGAAGTGGAGGTCAGGGGATCAGGAGTTAGAGGCCAGCCTCACTCAGCTGAGGCCAGCCTGAGACACAGAGTAAAACCCTGTGTCAACAAAACAAAAAAGGTATTTTGGTCCAGATAACAAATGTCAAGATTAGCCTAATTATGATCTGAGGAATGTGGCAGCTGAGGCTCAAAGAGGTTGTGTCTTCCCAAAACCACACAGCAAGGTTAGATTCTATGCAAGTTTCACTGGCTTCCTGAGCTTTGCCCCTGCCCTGGTCTTGAGGCAGCTTCTGCAGTCATGGGACTGAAATTCAGGGTGATGATGGATAAAACCACAGAGACAGGAGTCCAGGTCTTTGCCTAGGGCCCAGTGAAGGATCACCCACTTCACTATCTGGCGAATCACAGCCCACGTGGCAGATATTTGGCCTGGCTGCAGGCGGAAGCCCAGGGCGCACCTCCTCCACCAGCAGGCTCTGCAGCTCACGCTGACAGTCCTGCATGCGCTGGCGGTCGGCACTGTCCACCACCCAGATGAGGCCATCTGTGCTCTCAAAGTAGTTCCGCCAGTAGGAGCGCAGAGACTTCTGGCCACCCACATCCCAGATGTTCAGTTTGAATCTGGGAAGGAAGGAGCAATGAAGGTCAGGTTGGTCCTGTCCCCACTGCCTTCCCCCAGCCCCACGTGGCCCCCAGTGACCCTATTCACCCCCAGCCCCACATGGCCTTCAGCAACCCTACTTACCCCTGGTCTCTTCCCCCGGCCCCACGTGGCCCTCAGCCACCCTACTCATCCCCGAGTGACCCTACTCACCCCCCGGGTGACCATACTCACCCCCGGTGTTCTAGGGTTTTGATGTTGAAGCCCAGCGTTGGGGAGATGGTATCCACATCTTCACCGTTGAACTTCTTAAGGATGGTTGTTTTGCCAGCATTGTCCAAGCCACTGGGGCACATAGGCTAAGGAGAAGTCCCCGAGCTCTGCTGGAGGACGTCATCACACTATGGACCTCTTAGGGAGTAGTATTTTCCTACTGTATACTGAAGCAAGTTGAGCACATGCCTGGCCCATACTTGGCTTGAGATAAATGTGGAAGATAATTATGTTACTCAAAGTAACATAATTTATGCAACAAATATTAAGTGCCTATTATGTGTCAGGCCCCTCAGGTGTTGATGGAAAAAGTCTCTGCCCTGATGGCACTTAAACACTAGCAAAAGAAACCAAACAATGGGGCTGGAGAGACGGCTCATCAGTAAAGAGCACTAGCTGCTCTTGCAGAGGACCTGGGTCCAGTTCCCAACACCCACATGGTGGTTCACAACCAAACACTGACCTCTACGGACATCAGGCACACAACATGATGCATATACATACATATAGGTAAAATACCCACAGAAAAAAGTCTAAAAAAATTAAAGACTAAATAAAGCAGGAGAGGAGAAAGTTGAGTACCTGGGGTTCCTGAGACCAGTGAGAGACATTCCTGAAAGGAGTGACTTTCCCCTTAGGTACCAGATAAGGTTCTGTGTGGTCTTGAGGCCCAAAATAGACGGGCCGAGTCTTCTGAAGGACCAAGTGAAGTGGGACCCACTTTCTAGATAGGAACCACCACCTAGAGGTGGGACCCACCTTCATCTGTTTCTGGAACAATCTGCAGCCTCTGCTGCAGAAAACAAACCATTGGGTAAGCTCAACAGCAGGTGAGAAGTTGGGGTGACCACAGTCTGAATGGAGGGGTGAGGGAAGGAACAGGCTTTGCGTTTGGAACCTCTCCCTGCTCACCTGATGCAGGTCCCGGGACCCCCACCTCTCATCATCTGCGGCCCTACCTTAGCTTGGGAAGCTGGTCGCTGCCATCCGGTGCTTTCCCACGTCATTCCACCTCTCACGGGCCCTCTCTCCGTGTCTTCCTCATCTCTCCTGCACCAGCACCCCGTGTCCACCCTCTCCCATCTAGTGATTCAGGCGCGGGTGTTTACATGCGGCTGCACCAACCTCTATCCTCCTGCTTTTCTTCAAAGACAGGGCCTTACTATCTGATCTGTAACTCTGTGTAAAGAGACTGCTATAAACTTGTGGTGATTCTCCAGACTCTGCCTCCTGAGTGCTAGAATTACAGGTGTGTAACATTATGTTGGTTCTTTCCCGCTGTTTTGTTTTTGAGACAAGGTCTCTCTCTGTGTAGCCCTGGCTGGCCTTGAACTCACTATGTAGACCAGGCTGGCCTCAGTATTTGCCAGCCTCTGCCTCCCAAACGCTGGGATTAAAGGTGTGTGGTACCACGCCTGTTTTTGTTTTAAGTATTTTATTTTATATTTATTTATTTATTTGGTTTTTTGAGACAGGGTTTCTCTGTGGCTTTGGAGCCTGTCCTGGAACTAGCTCTGTAGACCAGGCTGGTCTCGAACTCACAGAGATCCGCCTGCCTCTGCCTCCCGAGTGCTGGGATTAAAGACATGCGCCACCATCACCCGGCTTGTTTTAAGTATATATGTTTTGCCTGCATGCATATATATGCAACAAATGAGTGCAGTGCCCACAGAAGCCAGAAGAGGCCCCTGGACTGGTCACCCACGGCTCTGAGGCACCAAGTGGATACTGGGAACGGAACCTCTGCTCTCTATGAGAGCAAGTGCTCTTAGCTACTGAGCCATCTACTTTTCCCCTGACGCTTCCCAAGCCTCATCTTGCCAGGTGGGTCCCTGATCCTTACTGCTCCCCAGTGGCTAAGTGGCCCATCTACTCTTCCCCTGACGCTTCCCAAGCCTCATCTTGCCAGGTGGGTCCCTCATCCTTACTGCTCCCCAGTGGCTAGGTGGCCCGTCTTGCTCACCACCCAAGCACTGCCACTTTTACGTCATCCGGATCCCTGCTACTCATCTGACCTCCCACGAGTGTCTGAACATCTGGTTCTCAGGGCTCCCCAGGTGGGTCATCCCAGAGTCGTTTCTATGCTGATGATTGTCACCCACCTGCCCAAACAGAGCCGGGGCTGGTGTCTTCCCAGGGACCTTCCCCTTCTAGCTTAGCAAGTGTCCCCTTGTTCTGATTACTCTGGCCAGAGAGCAGAGACTGGGGCTTCAGCTCCCCGCCCCTCACATTCTCCTCCAATCCAGCAGCAGGTCCTACCAGCACTACTGTCATTTCCTCCCACTTCCATGACCTCACTTCCTCCATCCTGCTCCCAGCCCATGGCTCTGCCTCTTTCCAGCCACTCTTCCCTTCTTCTCTTGAACATGCCAGGTTCATCCTCTCCTAGAGCCTTTGCACTTGCAGGTCCGCTGTCTAAGTTTTCCAGGCATCTCTACCCTCCTCAAGTCTGCCCAATAGCTACTGTCTTGATGTGCTCTTTGACCATTCTGGACTGCATTCTTCTCAACCCAAACTACACTTTTTATTTGCTTTATTGTTTTTTTTTTCTCCTGTCCATCCATAACGAAGGCTTTTTCGTTTCGCTAATCACAGAAGGTGATCAATAAATAGTAACTTAATGACTGCCTTTCCCAGAACTGTCTAAAATGGACAAGAGTGGTAAAGTTCTAAGGGCACATTAATTTCCCTCTTCTCTCCCTGCCAGTTTGTGGATCACAGATGCTCAGGCAGACAGGCACAACTGCAAAGCGCAAAGCGGGTGACGCAGGTGCCAGTTAATGCAACACAAGGTCGGCAGGGGCCCTGAGTGACAGTTAGACGGGTGGCCGAGTCCACGCCTACCCGCAGGGGCCTGGGCGGTCCTCACGCCCCTGGGATTCCAACCCGGAGGGAACTGCCGGGCCCACACGAAGGGGAGGGGGGTCAGCGTTGGGGAGGAGCAGGACCCACATCGAGCCAGCCCGAGAGACCGTGACGTCCGAGTCACCACCACCACGCCGCGCCTCCCCATGACACTGGAGACCCCGGTCCAGGCCCGGCCTTCAGGCTCACACCGCGGGCGTTAGCACGCAACCCCCGCCCCGCAGAGTGGTATGGCCCGCCCCGGCCCCGCGCCGAGCAGTGGTAGCGCCTCGTGCGTGACGCACCACCGGCAGTGGGTACCCGCGGCGGCCGCGCCCCCGCGCCCGGCCCCGCCCACCCGGCGGGTCCCGCTACCCTCGCGGCCGCTGGGTCGCTCTGAGGATACAGCATGAGCAGCCGCAGTTCTCGTTCTTTCTGTTTCATCTTCTTCAGAATGGTCAGAAGCCCCATGATCTCGTAGCCCCCTCCCGGCTGCCGTTTCTTCTAGGCCCGGGACCCCGCTCCCGGTTCCTATTGGCCAGTCTGGTGCTTGGTTCCTCCCTCGACACCACGTGACCACCGGAGTGCGGGGCGTCGCCCCCTAGCGGCGCGGCGGCGAACTTGCTGCCTGCTGGGTTAACTCTTCGCTTCCGGATGGCTGAGGGTTGGGGGGGACTAGGGCAAAGTCCCCTAAGCCTCCGACACCGAGGCCTTGGCCGGGACGCGAAGCTGACATCTCGAGCAGTATCTCGTGTGAGTAGGGAGAAGCCGCGAAGGGATTCTGAGCCAGGTGTCCGAACCTCCTTCACAAGGGGCTGACGAATCATCCGCGGACCGTGCTATGGCCTGGTTTCCGCGCTTCTTGTGACTTGCTTTATCCTCCTCTGCCAGGGACGGAGAACGGATTGATCCTGGTCTGGGACTCTGTTGGAAATGGCCCTGCGCGTTCAGTCGAGGGTGATGATGCCCTCTAGGGGCCGTTTGGAAATGGGCGGGCAGTAAGGGCTCCTTTGGGTTTCAGTGACACAACAGTCACAGTCATTTAAAACTTCCTGCAATGCAGCCATCAGACCCGCACAAAGGATTGCCCGGCTAGGAAGCCGTCAGTTTAGGAAGCTCTGTTTCGGATCTGGTCGGGCGAGCCGGGCGGTGATGATAGCACACGCTTTTTTTTTTTTGGTTTTTCGAGACAGGGTTTCTCTGTGGCTTTGGAGCCTGTCCTGGAACTAGTTCTGTAGACCAGGCTGGTCTCGAACTCACAGAGATCCTCCTGCCTCTGCCTCCCGAGTGCTGGGATTAAAGGCGTGCGCCACCACCGCTCGGCTAGCACACGTTTTTAATCCCAGCACCAGGGAGGCAGAGACGGGTGGATCTCTGTATTTGTTCCAGGACAGCCAGTGCTATGTAGAGAGACCCTGTCTCCAAATAAATTAGCAAGCAGATTAAAAACAAAACAAACAAAAACAAGAACTTGAAGCCCCCTTGCTGGCATGTAGCAGGTGGCTTTGCCGAAGAGTTAGTTTTTTGTTTTTGTATTCTGAGACAGGGTTCTATTGTGTATAGTCTTGGCTGTTCTGAAACTCCCTCTGTGGATCAGGCTGGTCTCGAACTCACAGAAATATACCTGACTGCCTCCTGAGTGCTAGGATTAAATGTGTGCACCGCCACTTAGTTGGTGGCACACACTTTTAATCCTAGCCCATGGGAGACAGAGGCAAGTAGATGAGGCCAGCCTAGTCAGTATATGGAGTTCCAGGACAGTCAGGGCTACATATAGTGAGACTCTTGTCTCAAAAAAATATTACTGTGTGTAAATTGTGTGTGGGGGAGGGTGCACATACAGCTGGAGGTCAGAGGACAACTTTGTGGAGCTGACTCTCCTCACTTCACGTGGGTTCCGGGCAGCAAGCTCATCAGCAGACTTTCTCAACAAGTGCTTTTCCCTGCTGAACTGGCTCAGTGGCTCAGAGAGTCAGCCTCTTCTCAGCTCTTCCCTTGAGGCCATTCTTATCTTTTTTGAGTTGTTGAAACAGGGTCTCAGGCAGCCAAGGCTGGCCTTAAACTTTCTGTGTAGCTGAGGACAGTGATGAACTCTGGATCCTCCTCCCACTTCCTAAGTGCCGAGATTATAGACTGGTCCACTAAGTCCTGCCCATTGTTTGTGGGTTTGTTTTGTTTTTGTTTACATTTGCTGTTCCATTTATATGTCTATAAAAGTTTGCTTCCATGCTTGTCTGGGCAGCATGAGTGCCTGGTGCCCCTGGGGGTCAGAAGAGGGAGCCCCTGGATCTGGAATTATGGTCAGCCCTCAGCTGCCATGCTGGTGCTGGGAATGGAGCAGTAGGTGCTGTTAGCTGATGCACCATCTCTCCAGCCCCCTTTGTTGTTGCTTTGTGAGACAAGGCCTCCTGTAGTCCATGCTGGCCTTGAGCTCCCTGATCCTCTTGTCTTCACCTCCCAAATCTGGGATTGCAAGTGTGTACCACTACCAGTAAAAGCCTATGGAGTGCTGGGGAGCGAATCCAGGGCCTCACAAATACTAGGGAATCATTTTACTGACTGAGCTACACTTCCAGCACTCGGGAGGCAGCAGCAGGCATATCTCTGTGAGTTCGAGCCCAGCCAGGTCTACAAGAGCTAGTTCTAGGACAGGCTCCAAAGCCACAGAGAAACCCTGTCTTGAAAAACAAAACAAAACAAAAAGTGAAATTAAAACGTTCAAATTGTTACAGCCAAGCTGAATGTGGGCAATGCATGCCGCCAGTCCTGGCACTCTGGAGGTGGGTGCAGCATCAGGATCAAGGTCCATCTTCAGCTACTTAGGAGAGTGAAGAGCTATCCTAGACTTAGTCTCAAAACACGAGACAAAACAATTTAACCAAATGCCCACAGTTGGGAAAGCTGCCTTTGAAGAGAGGGGGCTCCTGAAGTGGACTGTGACCTAAGCTGACTTCTGAGTCTCTGGGCAGGGAGGGCTCCATCTGTGCGAATGAAACAACTGAGCGTGGCCTGTGCTGCAGGCGATGGCTGGTGCTTGCTGAGCTGGGAGTGACTTGGCCTGCTGAGGCTAGTCCTCGCTTGAACCAGGACTTCAGGACTGGCAGGATGACAGAGTGAGACTTCCTCCCAAAAACTATAAATAAATAAATAAATAAATAAATAAATAAATAAATAAATAAAGCAGGTGTCACCTTCCAAAGAACCGCTCTACTCCCCTGTCACCTTTGAGTGACCATAACCAAACTTTTTATTCTGGAACAAAAATGAAAACTGCTAGGACCCAAGGACATCTGTTTAACTGAAAATTGCTGGGCTAGACAGATGGCTCGGTGGGTAAGTGTACTGTCTGCTCTGCCAGAGGACCCAAGTTCAATTCCCAGCACCTACATGGCCAACTTGGAACTCTCTGTAAGGCCAAGATGCTAGTCTTACTTTCCATGTCCCATGCCCATAACAGAGGCACCAACCAGCACTTGGTGGCAGCATACTCAAATATACGTTTTGTCTGTTGAATAGCAGAGACCTGGAAAGTAGAATGTGCAGCCTAAAATTGAAGTGATAACTGCGTACAGACTAGTTCTGCCCCGGCCTGCTTGAAGACTCTCGCTCATCTCCGGGGGAGTCTCCAGTGGCCAAGACAAACCCTGTCCTCAGTGTTTGCTCCTGACTATTCAGTGGGCGTGTGCCCCACGCAGGACTCTGTCAAGTGCTTCAGAAGACAGGTCAGAGCACTCAGACGTCTTCATTACAGGTCTTGGCCCAGCTGCCTCATGTGGGCGGCACAAGCAGCAGCCCGTCCCATTTGCAGGTGGTGCAAGGAGTGATTATTCCCCCGCAGCCAGTCACTGGTGAGCATATGCCATCCTCAGGCCTCACAGGGACCTTAGGTGTTGGGACGTACGCAGACTCACATGGCCAGCAGCCATTTTCCCGCTCACTTCATCTGTTGCCCGTGGCTTCCTTTAGAACAGGACGGTAGAAGGGCAGTATCCCGCACATCCCTCATACCTGTAATCCCAGCACTAAGGAGTGAGGCAGGAGGATTGACACCAGTCTGAGGCCAGCTTGAGCTACATAATGAGTTCCAGCCTAAGTTAGGCTACATAGAGTGAGACCCTGTCTCAAACAAAGCATGCTGGGTATGGTGGCCCCAGTCTTTAGGCCCAGCACTGTAGAAGCAGAGTTAGGCAGATCTCCGTGAATTTGAGGTCAGTCTAGTCTACATAGGGAGTTTCAGGACAGCCACAGCTACATAGACTCTGCCTTCAAACAAACAAAAAACACCAGGGTGGTGGCAGTGTGTGCTTTTAATTTTAGTACTCTTTTTTGTTTGTTTGTTTGTTTGTTTTGTTTTTGTTTTTCGAGACAAGGTTTCTCTGTGTAGCTTTGGCTGTCCTAGAACTCACTCTGTAGACCAGGCTGGCCTCGAACTCATCGAGATCCACTGGCTTCTGCCTCTCAAGTGCTGGGATTAAGGGCATGTGCCACCACCGCCCAGCTAATCTTGGCACTCTTGAATTCAATGACATCTGGTCTACAGAGTGAGTTCCAGGACAGCCAGGGCTACACAGAGAAACCCTGTCTTGAAAAACCAAACAACCACAACAGCAACAAAAACAAAAGGAAGGAAGGAAGGAAGGAAGGAAGGAAGGAAGGAAGGAAGGAAGGAAGGAAGGAGAGAGAAATCATAAAACCAAAACCCAACAACAGAGAAAGCTATTAAAGAAACAAATGACCCCAACACCTCTCCCAAAACAAAACTTTGGTCACAGTGTCTCAGTTGCTTTGCTCATGATTCCTAAGGGCCATAATGACTGGTGTTGGAATGGCTCTGTGTTTTCAGGTGTCCAGCCTGGCTGGGCCTCACTTGGCCACCTGAGAGTCTCCACCCACACAGCTTCTGTTCACCTGGAAAGCTGGGCAGCTCCTGGCTGGTTCCTCTGCTCCTGTTGTTTCTTTGAGACAGGATCTTGTTTGTAGCCTAGGCTGTCCTTGACCTTTTGGCCATCCATCCTCTTGCCACAGCCACTTGAGTGCCAGGATTGCCCAGCTTCACAGGTTCCTTTTAACCTTGGTAGTTTGAGTCTCCAGAACCTAAGCATGTCTGCTAGTGCTTACTATTTGGTCGCTTGGATCAGTCCTGGCCTACTGTTCCTCTCCATGTTAATCCTACCTGGGCCTGGAGTACACTACCCTCCTCTGCCTGCCTCCCAGTGCCTCTCCGTCCAATGTCTAAAACTGTATGCTCTTGTGTAGGTATTGGCTGGGACTTTAGCTCAGTGGTGGAGTGCTTGCCTGCTGTATACAGGGCCCAGGGGTAAGTCTCCAGCACCAGTCTAGCAATCAGTTTAGCAATATC